TAAAGCTTCGGGTTTTTTCAGTCCCGTAATTTCCCCTATTCGCGTGAATTTCGGCAATGTTAAAAAATATTTCTTTATATCCATATTTGTATTTATTGGCATATTCATAACGTCGTAGACAATATCTATTCTGAAATAGTGCATCAAATTAATAAAATATTGGGTGATAAGAGGAATTCAGGAAATTGTCAGTTTACACAGGAAAGGTTGGCTGGCTGGTTGGTTGATCTTTTAACGACGCACTCAGCAATATTCCAGCTGTATGGCGGCGGTCTATAAACAGTCGAGACTGGACCAGACAATCCAGTGATCAACAGCATGAGCATCGAGCTACGCAATTGGGATAGGAAGACATGTGTCATCCAAGTCAGCGAGCCTGACCACCCGATCCCGTTAGTCGCCTCTTACGACAAGCATTGGTTGTTGTAGATCACATAACACCGTTTGCAGTTAAGGTATAATCCTAGAAAATTGTTACAGACAACATTAAATAATCCTAAAGTCAGTACATGACCTTTTGTCGAAATGTCCTAATTACCGAGGTAGATCTTCCGCATTGATGATAAAACTGATTCGTAAAGCATGTCGATTTATCGCTCAGTGGTCATAAATTGACACCTGATTTCACTTGTCAATCAATGTCACAGCAAATCAGTGACGCGTCACCAGATGTCAATAAGAGCAGTATCGCTCGTAGTTCGGGTTTTGAACACGTAACAAAAACACATTAAAACCCCTACATTTCTGTCATTTTAAAACGTTAATGTAGTCAAATGGAAATGTCTTCAAACTGTCTTAAAGGTTTAAACGTCTCCATAATGTTTCTTGTCGATGTTTTTTCGAAACGTAAAAATGTTGACGAATTTGTGTATTTTATAAACATGTTTACAACCACATGGAAATGTTTTCAAAAGCCGGACCGTACCTCTGTGTTTTTCCCTGTAAGCAATTATGATACTGACTTGTCGCTCTACACAGGGCACCGGGTGTTCGGGCTTCAGCAAAGTGCATGCCTTTAAATACGAGAGTGAGTGAGTATGGTTTTACGCCGCTTTTCACAATATTCAAGCTATATCACGGCAGGGAACACCAGAAACGGGCTTCACACATTGTTCCCATGTGGGGAATCTACCCAGTTCTTCGGTGTGACGAGCGGACGCTTTAACCACTAGGCTACCCAACCGACACTCAAGTACGAGACATCTTAAAGTGTGCAAAAATACATTAATTTAAACTTACCGAATTGGAAACTATTTTTATCGGCGCTCAGAATCCCTTCCCTCTTGTTGAAATACATAGAATGTTGTGTTATCTGAGATATAAATCCAAGTATATAGAGGTAAGAAAGGCTGAATCGCGTTGCAGTTTTCGGGGATCACGATCCGTGTACATTATGTTTGTTTGTATGGTTGTTCGTTGTTTAAATGTAAATAACCGATTCTGGACCAGATAGTCCAGTGATCGACTTCATTAGCATCGATCTACGTTACTATGACATGTGTCAACAAAGTCAGCGAGCCTGACCACCCGATTCCGTAACTCGCCTCTTACGACAGCCATGGATTGCTGAAGATATGATCCGGGGACCCGATCCACAAAGTGTTACGATCGAAATTAAGACAATCTTACTATTTTTACGACCGATTAACAAGTGTTCTTAATCCATTCGTAAATTCATTATCTGCACTGTCTGGTCCAGACTCGATTATTTTTAAACCGCCGCATAGATAGCTGGAATATTTCTGAGTACGACGTTAAACAACATACAAACCATGCCAAACTGCTTTGAACACTTAACGAGGATGATTTCAAGCGTCCTGACGGTGACTATCTGTACGTATCTATAGCCTGTCTCACCAACCTGTCACCACGGTGTCAATTCAGCAACTAGTCTGTAGGAATGAGTACATGGAAAGGATACCAAAGCCAGGAACTGGCGCTGTAGTGACTCGGGAAGCCATTTTGTGACACACAGAAAGGGACAGCACTCTGTCCGTCTTTTAGACGAGGCAATCGTAAGATTTATTACTTCTGATTAAGAGTTCTAACCCCATTAACGCTTTTCATTTGTCGTATTTTTAAATGTTCCTTAATATATGTTCCAGAACTAGTGCCAACATTGGGGTCAGGAAACTAGAAGTGGATTTACTAAGTGCTAAAATAAAGAAACATTGTGAACATAATATATTGTATTAAATGTTTCGCCCATCTTCGAAATACACGTGGGCATATTATTTACACTGAATACATTTGCTGTAGAATTGTAATAAGGTTGTATCACTCCTGTTTCATGCACAATTCAAGGTTGTGATGGTGGCCTTGAAAGGGGGCAGTTTGAATGTAAGTTCAGAAATTTGTAGCATGAAAAGTTGGATGTGCAATTGTTTACAGCTAAACCAATCTCACATGAAATGTTAATTAATGCATCTCACACATATTGTAGATTTTCATACAAGGAAAGGTAAATTGAGAATGTAAGGTAAGCGATCTAATAAATATTTAAAATTGATTTGCACATTTGAATAATATAGTTGAGTTACCATACTTTTGGTAGATTATTCCTTATTGATTGAAGGAAAAGTGCTAATTCGGAAGTACGTGTCTTATTAACGTACAGACACTACTCCAGCCACCCAAGAGACTCTCCAAGTACTGCAGTATTTCGGTCCTATGTACCACCTTCCTACTTAGAGTGTTGTCAGCAGATGATGTTCCCCGAGGTTATAAACTTCATGTATTACCCTTAAGACACATTTGTCGAATTGGGATTGGTCGATAGCCAAAGCATACCAAACCATGTAGGTGGATTTGCCACCGTGTACGAAGTTAAGAACCGTACACCCCGTCAAATCTGTCATGTTACACAGTACACTGGTTGAACGAATGACCTTGACCTTAGATGGAATGTGGCTGCCAAACGGCTGATCGCTTCGGAATTTTAGAGTTGGTGTATACAATAATGAGTATAAACAGAGTAATAAAATTGTTGCCAAATGCTTGTGTATATATATATCCAAAAAATAAAATGCATTTGTATTTCACTTGTGGTTTAACAAAACCTCAAATTCGATATTTTTATCATAAACTAAGCCATCCCGAGTTATCTCCCTTTATGACCGTTCAAGAAAAATCATGGTGAAACGTTTTGCGTCTCATTCTGCCGATGATTGAATGTTGTTGTTTAAAGATAAGCTAAATAACAAGATCTTCAGGGTAATAAATTTGTCACACGGTGTTTTAAAAGGGTGTACGGGACTGTAAGACCCTTGTTAATTCCGTTTTTCCTTGCGCCTCAGGAAATAAGGAATTTACAAGGTTCTTACAGTCCCGTACACCCTTTCAAAACACCGTGTAACTCATATTATCACCCCAAACTGATCCCTACAGTACGCTTATGTGAAATCAAGCATATCTTCAAGCGATAGCTGCATTGTAGATATCGCAACAATTGAATTGTCACGATGCTATTACATCGTCAGTAAATGACCTCACAATGCTTTGACATCACTAAGAACGCACATGTGAACATATGTGAACATATAGCTGGTACTCTATTGATAATGGTGCAACATTAGTGGAAATCTACAAAAGCCTGAGAATATAGGAATATAAGAACTATTCGACCTATTAGATATGGCCATCCATGTCGCTATTACGTCCATTGTCATGTTTTACCATGACAATCATATCTTATTATTTGTTATACTGCCAAAACGTATCTAGTAACAATGTGGATCGATGTAATGGAATTGTTTGGTTCGTCGTGCCCGGCAAATAATCCAGTTACAATGTCCGAATGTTAGAGAGTTATCATCCCCCAAAAAAAATCTTCATGCGCATGTCGCTCGGTGTCGTCGTTTGACGATAAAGAGGAAAATACATTTTCGTTGTTTATGCAAGCCATTTTATATATTGAAGTATAAGGTTACACATAAGCATATACGTCTATTTGATATATTGATATGTCGTTCAGGTGTCAGGCACTATTTTCTTCGCTCACAGTTTCCCTAAAGATGTCAGATGTAAAATATTGTCGCACGGTGCTTTTTAGGTGCAGGATTAAAAGCGGAGAAATTTACTGGGGTTTTTCACAATTTCGCAAAACATGTAACAGACTTACATATTAATTTAGTTTAGCAATGAACAAATTTCATGAATTTAATTTTCGTATGATCCAATACAAATTTTGCACATTTGTGAGGAATCATCTTTCCTACAATCACATAATTTCTGTTTAAATTTCGGTTGCTTATTTATTGAATAGCAACAATTTAATCAACATATGTACAGTGCCGTGAACTCTTTTTACATGGGATTGTGCATTGTGGAACTATACGTAAGTTGATAAATGTGATGTCAATAGTTAATTAGTAGTCGGAAAATTGAACTGAAATCATGTGCGCAGAGCAGAGATGATTTCAAATTTGCCTGTCAAATTTTACAAAGATCTATCCTAAACTAACTTCATGAAAATTATTTATGCTCCACTTAAATAACATGTAAGTCCATGGAAATGACGTCAAGTGTCCGAATATATATGGCATGAGTACATGTACATCCAGTGCCGCACGAACGATATTCTTGCGCAACGTTCAGTTTTCAGATTTTTAGAAATTGTGTGAGAAAAAAGATCGGCATCCAGGGGGTTAACTAGCGATCGATAAATATCCTTTTCGATCTCACCTATGATCTTGCGTATAAGTTAAAATGCACAAGTTTCTATCATCTCAGCGTTCTGAAACAGCGAACCGGGCTAGCTATTCTCGAAACGTTCGTAGCCCTACGAACTTCTTAAGCCCATTCTTAACACATTGGTTACGATCAAAGTTAAGAATTCTTAGGGGTGTATAAAGTTAGTCAGTTGTTTGGATAATTGGACATGGTGACATCGACGTCGCCATTGTTATAATGTGACGCAGTCCTTATGTGACGTCATAACATTATGACGCCATATGCTCGCACACATCCTCTCTGTGACGTCACGCCATTGTCGCTTCTCAAACCTGGTCGAAGCGATGAGGGAGGAACTGTAGACACGTCCCGCGGTTTTTGTAAAACACGCTTTGGTCAAAGATGAATCGAAGCTACGCCCGGCCACCCAAGCCAATCACAATCTCGGGATCGAAGCAGTTCGATGAACATGGAGTAATCCCCATCACAGTTAAACGAACGGGGGACATCCAAGACCTGAGGAACAGATATGGCTACACGCTTCCAAATGTCAATCAGGTCGCCGGATGCAAGCTTGGCAGCAGAATGCGACCTCTTCCCGTGTTGCCGAAAGCGGATTTTTGGAACAATCACGGCACAACACCCCCTGTCGTCCGACTTCTCTTCACGGGACGTCTGCCTCTAAAATTCTTCACGGATATCTGTTATGGAAGAAGGTTGGTATTTTCCGACTTTAATCTTGTTGATTACACATATATAATTTTTATAGTGACAATACAGTGATCAACAGCATGAGCATCGATCTACGCAATTGGGATACGATGACATGTGTCAACCAAGTCCACCTGACCACCCGATCCTTTTAGTCGAATCTTACGACAAGCATGGGTTACTGAAGATCAATTCTAGCCGGATCTTCACGGGTCAGATGCTGTTATAACAACACGGACAATTAGTTCTTTGCTGTTGTGACTTATCAGCATGAATTAGTTCAACTTCTTTGAGAGGCATTGAGTAGCTGGAGCAGAAAGGAAGGGTGGCACATATAGGGATGAGAACCTTCTATATTACAGTGAGAGTGACGTTTCCAGCAGTTTATAAACAGAATAAAGATTGAGAGGCAGATTGTCATACAAGTGGGTCACTGTAATAAATAAGGGACTCGTCCATATATTGTCATCCTTCCTTATTAATTATTTCTCCTGAACAATTCCGTTAAAATAAGACACCGTGATCTCATTTTTCAAAGCAGCTCTCTCTCTCACACACACGCACGTACGCACGCACACACAGACACACAGACACACACACGCACACACACACACACACACACACACACACACACACACACACACACACACACACACACACACACACGCTCTTTTACACGCAGGCAAGGTAAACGGTCAATACGGGTTCGAGTAGCGTCAGTACTAATTTACCGCGCGGTTGGAATAACTCCGAAGGTTCATTGAAACGCTAATAAAATATGGATACGAAGCTGGTCAAGGGAGAGTATATATGTAACATATGTTATATTTGGGATTACAGTTTCTTAGTAAGGTCAAAATTCTAGTACTTTTGTTGGGTTGAGTCCCATCCGGGATTCGGACCCACACCATTAGAGTCGGGCACCTAATCGCCAGCCGCCTAACCCGCTCAGAATTTGTACTTTAGTAAGAAAGTGTAATCCCAAACATAACATAGGTTACATTTGACCACTTTCTGAATGGCACTGTGTAATCAGAGAGTATATATGGTAGAATATAGAGGATCGGAGAAAGGGATATGGATATTCTGCTGATTTTTGTCAGCAGACCCTACAATAGTTACCTATTAATATGTTGAACTTATTGATACATGTGTAAAAGCTGTACAACATATGGGAGCGAAATATGGGGATGGTTGACTGCAGAATGTATAGAGAAGGTACATAGGGCATTTCTCAAAACTCTACTTGGAGCGTAGGACTGACTGACTGAGTTTGGTTTTACGCCGCTTTTAGCAATATTCCAGCAACATCACGGCGGGGGACACCAGAAATGGGCTTCACACATTGTACCCATGTGGGATTCGAACCCGGGTCTTCGGCGTGACGAGCCAACGCTTTAACCACTAGGCTACCCAACCGCCCTGGAGTGTAGGAAAGTACCGCCAATATTCAACTCTACGGGGAACTAGGAATATTCCCACTGATCATCGATCGAAAGATAAATATACTCATGCCAATAATGGTTGTCACCCCTCCCCACCCCAACCCCACACACACACCTCACACCCAACCCCACCCCCTTTCCAATTAAAAAAATTGAAGGGGGTGACAACCATTATTGGCATGAGTATATGATCAAATATTGGGTAAAGTTGGTGAAAACTGAAAACTGCATCCTTAACAGCGCTGATCGAACAGCGCAGAATTTACCCCTCAGGTGGACGAAGGAGATAGAACGCATGTTCGAATACAACGGTTTCGGCTTCATCTCATTAAATCTCTACACTGTGAAACTTTATGCATTGATTCCACTTTTAAGACAGAGACTTCAAGATAACAGTACAGCTGTATGGCAAAGTCAATTACGGCAATCCTCTTCACTCTACTTGAACAAAGATTATAAAATGTTATATACACAAAGTTGAAGATTACCTGATCAAAGTTGGAAATAGTAAGTAACAGAAGAGCCCTACGTAAACTCAGAGAAGATGCATAAAATGTAATGTTCAGCGATGAAATAGAAGACGACTATCATGATAGAATGCTCAGTTTACAGTGGTTTAACAATTACATAAATAATCTACAAAACAATTAAGAAACATAGCAGCATATGTGTATGAAACTTTCCAGCGACGAAACTACTAATCTGCATAAAAAGCTTAATATTTGTTGCATCCTCGCCATCTTGATATCACATCAAACAGTTTATCTGTATGGCCAGAGGCCATATAGTATCCATGGATCCGCGCATATTGAATGACAGCTGGAATCAACCAATCAGAAAAAAGCTTCCATTCTGTGCCGATCTGCTATCAAACGCCCGCCATATTTTACCCACAAACAAACGCCGTCGTCCTTAGTTACCGTGTGGTGAAAAGCACAGAAAATGATATTACGATGCGCGTGGGGGTCATGCAATGTTGACGAACGTTAGTGTCAATAAAAGTTTATGTGTGCCTGTCTAATATGGCCGTTCCACATGGTCAGGGGAAGTGTCTGTTGGGGGATGTTAAGGCGTAAGGGGTGGGACAACCAGACTCCTAACTGACAACACGGCATTCATGTACTGGCGCTTATTTTAGCAATAATTCAATCAACACCAGGTTCTATACTCACATAGGTTTACTCAATCCCCTCTTCGTTACAAGGTGATTCAGACTGGACAGGGAAAGATCTTTACCAAACGTGGAACAGCAACGATCGCCATGCGAACGTTCTGCTATAGCTTTGAAACCCGCAACACTTTGCTAGTGCTGACGGTATCTTTTTAATGTGCTCGAGCCTGCTCCGGCCTTGTCACATGTCCAGCTACAACATTTCTGATCTGATTAAAGTTACATCATTCCATGGTCTCACGTCGTACCTCGTTATCGGAGAATAAATGGAAACTACCCATCGGTGATTCACCATGAACTAATACTTGAGTGAAAATAGCGAGATTAAAAGATTCAGGGTTTATTTAGGATTTCAAACTAAGTGGCTTTGGATGGTAATTCGGGGAAATGCTATTTTGAAGCTTAGAGTGCCGGTTTAGACAGCATTCACTGTAATGTCTAAATACTGTTGACAGTGTACATCCAATTGATCGTTGATGATATTTTTAAATTTTAATTTCTTTTATCAGTGTAATCATTGGTAATAACAATATTACCATCTATAGAGAAATTCCAATCTAGCAATGTTTAGTAGTATTTGCTGTAGACGGCCTCTGAACACGTCGAAATAGAAGACCTAGAAGGAGATGCAACAAACGACACTATACAAATATAAAGTACTGTCGGAAATGCTAGAAAAATGCTTTTAACCTTAATATGTTTAAAAAGGTGTTAAATGTACTATGTTGTTAATATAATATCCCAAAATAGAAACGCATAGGCGTTTTGTATTTTTTAAAATCTATTAAGTATCAATTGTGTTCAAACAATCGTCAAAAATATGAAACAAAAGTGTTGATAACATGGTTTTACACTATTGCACTAGTGAAAAATCGACTTTACCTGAAAATGTTGATTTTGATGAGATTTCTTACAAGAATTAGAAAGGCATCGACACAACGCAAATCGCCTTCCAGTTGAAATTGTGCAGCAAAGATCATGCACTGTCTGGCTACAAACAGATTTCTTTCGGAATTCGGCATTCGTTTTAAAAGAGTTTCAAGGTCTAATCACTACGCCACGTCTTAACGCTGTGACACGGAACATCGCCATTGAAAGAATGCACGCTGGAGATGATCAATCTTCTGTTGCCAGGCGTGTGAATGTTAGCCAGAGCACGATATCACGACTTGCAGCTCGTTACAACCAAACAGGTATAACAAATGACCGTCCCCGTACAGGCAGACCTCGAGTCACCACTGCAGCCCAAGATCGGTACATCCGGGTACTACATTTGCGTGCCACGGGTGAGAGCACAGCAGCCAGGGTGCCTGGACTTCGGAGGATATCCGGACAAACTGTACGGAACAGGTTGAGAGAGATTGGACTGAGAGCCAGGAGACCCGACGTCGGGACCGTGCTACGTCGTCACCATGGCGCTCAAAGTCTCCGTTATCTAAAATTATCCACTTGGTTGTATAGACAGTACCTTCTTCTAAACTGGTGTACAAATGCATGTACTAAAGGCTATTTGTGAACGAGTTATACATGTTTGAAAATACAACATTTTCGCAATAGATTTCTGGGTTATGCGTTTCTTTTTTGAAATAGTATATATCAACGCGCCTATAGTGTACCTAATTTATATTTCAATCGATTTAACATTCCCATGCTTTTAAAGTTCAGTTTACAGGAGAGAATTTGGTACCAAAACAACAACAGAAAAATCTGAAATAGTCTATACATTTATATAAATGCTAATAATACAGGTGGTGTAAAAATATGAATTAACGTTTTTCTGAAACAAATAAATGTTGAATGTTTGTGTTACTTTATTTAGTTATGGTTGCTTTATTGAAGAAATATTAACATAACAGTTAAATAAATAAGATTCCCTTCATGCATGCACATCCTTATCACAGGGTTCACTATGTCCAACGATTTTCTGTCGATTGTTGCAAGTTTTATAATTGTTGCAAGGTTTGTAAGTATTTTGTACTTTAAAAAGACAGAGGTAAACCTTTCATTAGTTTAGAAAGGGTTTATTACAGAACTACTAGAGCTGTTGGTATGTCTTACCAAAAAGTTTACAATATTGTAAACAAATCAGACAAGACAGGGACCATCTCAAAAGCAAAACCGCGACGTAAAACCATCCTTGACAACTTTGACACGGGCGGTGTACAAACTTTATGAGCAGAATATTCTACCTACATGTAGGAGTATCAGAGAGGAAATTAAGGAAAATATCAACGTCTCCAGAACCACCCTCATCATTGCCCTCCACGAGATGAGGTTCAAGTACAAAGCCCGTGGTGATGACAGAGCTGTCTTCAGGGGAGAAGTACTCTGTTGCGTCCATGAGATCCTCTTACTTGAGAACTGTGGCTGAGTAACGTGCCCTGGCTTCTAGTTTACCTGGATGAAACTTGGGCCAACAAGACCCATTCTACTGACTATATGTGGTTACCCACAGACCGACAGAATAAAATTCAAGTTTAAGTGTATAAAAAATTTGGTTTTATACACATCGGGCCATCATAAACTTACTTTGATTAATTAATTATTTTCATACAGTGACTCTTGAGCAAACAAATAACGACATAAACAGTTATAATTGCTCATCCGGTTCTACTTCGACACAGCCATCTCTCTATATACCTGTTCTAAAGAAGCTATACCAGTGACTTCGTTAAATCGTTGGCCAAAGTACACAACTACATTAATATATATAGGTGTTGTTGGTGTGCGGAATGTGGATCCAATACGTATACTTTATCATCTAATGGAGGGTGGTATCGGTGTAATAAAGCAATCTGATGAACGTGGTATCCAAATCTGATAACTATGCAAATTACGTCAATCCACGAACTACTTTCACAAAACTCCATACACGCCATCAGAATCCTAAAACGTATAACATTTCATTGATGACGTCGTCGCGAGTTTACATTGTTTGTAAACAAACATGGCTGCCTCCATTCTCAAAATTGGTGATTCTGTAAGAATTGACGATAGAGGTTTTGGAGTCGTTACGGCAGTAATTGACTTTGGAAAACATGAAACGGATTAATTCGTTCAAATTGAAGGTACGGATTATTAGGCACGACTGACAGGCAATCGTCTACGAAAGGTACCAACCAAGGATTTCGATCTATCCATCACAATACAGACGAAGAATCGATTCCGTCAGGTATCCGAAACTGATATTGATGAGGTGATTACCTGCAATGAAAATAGAAAAACTACCAAGAAAACCCTGCCCGATTTTGTTGTTCTTTTTAGACAGAAAGATCTTATTTTAAGCATGAGTTATGTTTGCACTGTATTATGGACTAGTCACAACCATATGCCGCCGTCATGAACGACCTTCACCTTGGTGTACCGCTGAGTATTCTTACGCGAATGCTCAATTCTCTTCACGAACGATTTGCTTTTTTCTTTTCTTTTTTAAGATTAATTTTAAGAATGACATTATATGATAAAGAGATTATTAACCTAGTTTGTTTCCGTATCATTAATATCATACATTAGGAATAAAAATTATGTATATTATGCGAGCGATACAATTTTTATTCCTAATATATGATGTTAATGATACGGAAACACACTCGGTAATAATCTCTATATACGTACACAAATTCAACATTATGAAGAAAAAAATCTATTGATAATGACCCCTCACCCGAGCGTGTGCTCAGGTGTCAAATTCACCTGTCGATACAGTGCATGCTGATTACATAACACAGGCAGTTAATATTTGTATCAAATAGCGTTCCACTACCCCTTATATTTCTAAGTTTTTTATATTTTCATATGTAAAAACACATTTTAGGGCATGTCTCATAATTTATTCCCTCGGTCTACATTAGGTAGATGTTTCTTAAAGTGATTTTTGTTATTTAAGTAACTGTAATATCTCTGAATTTTAAATAAAAGTCAAAGCATGTTTTCTAGCATTTCCGACAGTGCTTTAGTAGCTGCTGCCCCACCTGTTATATAACAGACCACTCAAATTGAGCAGATATTTTCAGAACGTGTCTTTTTGTCAAGTAGAAGAGAGGCTAAGGATAACATGTTATGACATCTTAAAAAGGTATCTACATAGGCTTGATGTTTTGAGCTATTTTGTAGATTACCATACTTCTCAAGACGTACAGTCTCTTAACTGAAAGAAGCGGAGATAATATCGTTAGAATTCGCAGAATCTGCAAATCGGTCAGTAAACAAGAGTTATGTCCCTTGTGCCACAACTTCACGAAGCACAGTCACACTAGGGTATACCTGGAGTAGGCCTTTCATGTCCAGTTGAAACAGTAGATTTAGAGGCTGCGTCATAGGGGAACCAACACTAATATAAAATAACTTCTTTTTCAATTATTATCTGTCAGTATTTTAAAATTTTAACAACAGTTTTACAATCAACAACCGTGTTAAAACGACAACAACAGTCAAAAATGACAACAACAGTAATTATCTTGAGATAAGCAAGCTCTATAATGACAACGTAGTATGTTTATGTCCTAAATAACTGTGGTGATAGGGTAGCCTAGTGGTTAAAGCGTTCTCTCGTCACGTAAAATACCCAGGTTCGATTTCTTGTTGGGTACTGCCAAAATGTTCATATTGCGATATATTATGATATCTGTTGACGTACTGCAGTATGTATTGCAATATATTGTGAAAGTGTAACACATGGTTTAAGGTGATGAAATTACTTTTTCCTTTCTTTTGAAACATTGCCACTGGCAGATGTAATTGTACAAGTGATCAATTGAAAATGTTTCCAAAGTGAAGACTTCGCACTAAAGTTTGGAACTCGAGAAACAATGCGTCTGCAGCGGTGTCCGCCATTTTGGTTTGTTTATCCCTACAACCAGTGCCGGTACCAATCTATTTTTGTTTATGTATAATGTTTAAAAGTCACGCAAATGCAACTATATGAACAATAAACATTCTCAAAACTACTAATGGATAATAATATAAAGGAAATACAAATGTTATTAGCAGTTTTGACTTCATCACAAAAATTACCGATCATGGTCACGGAAATTGCCGATCGTATCGGTTGAACCGATTCGCGAAAAGTACCGCAATATATACTACTGTGAAGTTCGAATTGCAATATACAGGTAAACCGGTATTATCGCCCATCCCTAGTTCGGGGAGCGGTGGGGTAGCCTAATGGTTAAAGCGTTGGCTCGTCACGCCGAAGACCCGGGTTCGAATCCCCACATGGGCACAATGTGTGAAGCCCATTTCTGGTGTCCCCCGCCGTGATATTGCTGGAATATTGCTAAAAGCGGCGTAAAACCAAACTCAGTCCGGTCCAGTTCGATTCCCCACGTGGGTACAATGTGTGAAGCCCATTTTTGGTTTTCCCCCTCCGTGATGTTGCTGAAACGTTGTTAAAAGCGGCTTAAAACCCAACTCACTCACTCCTTAATAATTATAATAATTTGTATGTTTAACAGCACCAGTACCCCGCCGTACAGGTACAAGCCCAAGCCCGACCAACACATGCAGCGAGAGAAGGAACTCTGGGAACCCAAGGGAGACGTGAAAAACGCGTGTAGAAGAATCTACATCAGCATACACGAGGCTCGTCTACGTCACAAACAACGCATGGAACAGATTCAAGAGAGAGCCCAGCAGCACCACAAGAAGGTGGAGGCTGTGTTTCTCCGTCAACGGGAGATGGAGAACAAAGGATTAAGCAGCTACTTTAAGAAGATGGAGAGAGAATCGGACAGACTGATGGAGAAATGGAAGAAGAAGAAACCAGTGAAGGATGACAGCGCCATCCCTCTTGAACACTGCCCTGCTTCTTCAGTCGTTTTAGCCAAAACTGGCAACGATGACTAGTTCGTAAGGGAAACGAACCCGGATTCCGATGATCAATATTGGAACATTTTGAGCAGAGCATATTTTGTGAGGATATACAACTATGCGGGAACATATCTTTTGTTTCTAATTCATATTTTCTTTCGAAGTGTTTGTATTTTGTTTAATGTGTTTCATTCATATGATATATAGGTCGCCCACATATATAGCGATTAGGTTTTTAAAACAATTGTTATATCGTTTTAAGTGAAACAGGTGTTCGGGTATTTTCACTGCATAAATCTTTAAAGTATTATTTACGAAATAATCAGGCGTGATCATGGAACGAGTGTAAGTTATCGCATACGTGAATTTCGTCGCAAATGATCAATCTAATGGTTTTTGTCATAATGGAATACGCGATGTTACCACGAGACCCCCAACTCGGTCGTAATTATGGCAGCCTCAATTCTGCGCAGAATTGTCCTCCCGTTTTACGGAAAACACACACTACTGTTTGTGTCCAAAATCACATTTACAAGAACACATGGAGTTACTTTTCCTAATCTCTTTCATAAAACAAACTCTGTTGTATTGGATATATTAACTGTTACTTGATCAATGGATTTCCAGATTGGATACAGTGCTATAATGTCAAACGCTGCGTCTTAATGTCTTTTTATACGTTCGCCTTACCGTACTTGCAATGTGCCATCAACAGACTGATGTTAATGTTAGTAAAATAAATGAATTAAATGTTTTTGAGGATGTATGTCTGGACTGAATCCCTGTCTGACGTCATAAACATACAGCTGAACGGATCTCAAGTCGTGGGGGTCGGTGAGGTCCAACAGATTATATTGTCGTATGCATGTATATGTGTGTGTATTAAAACCATGAACTTTCTATGTATTTAGTGTTGTGACGTCTTTGCGAAAGAAATATAAAACTTTGTTGGCTTTAACCGCTGGGCAACTTTTTAGCAATATTCCGCAATATCACGGCGGGGGACACCAGAAATGGGCTTCACATATAGCATTAATGTGGGTCATCAAACCCAGGTCTTCGGTGTGACGAGCGAACACCGCTACCCCACCGCATTTAAGCGATAAAGTGAGTGAGTGAGTAAGTAAGTATAGTTTTACGCCGCTTTTAAGCAATATTCCAGCAATATCACGGCGGGGGACACCAGAAATGGGCTTCACATATTGTATTCATGTGGGGAATCAAACCCTGGTCTTCGGTGTGACGAGCGAACGCTTTAACCCCTATGCTACCCCACCGCATTTAAGCGATAAAGTGAGTGAGTGAGTGAGTAAGTATAGTTTTACTCTGCTTTAAGCAATATTCCAGCAATATCACGGCGGGGTACACAAGAAATAGGCTTCACATATTGTATTTATGTGGATAATCAAACCCAGGTCTTCGGTGTGACGAGCGAATGCTCTAACCACTAGGTAACCCCACCGCATTTATGCGATTAAGGGAATTGAATGCTTGTATCAGTAAACGTGAATGAATGAGTGGGTTTGACACCAGCTTGAATGCCACTTCAGATTACATCGCAGGGTGACAACGGAAAACGGTTTAGACTTATACCACTTTTGATGATACGCATGCAAATTAAAACTAATTTTCGGGACGTGTCAGGTATTGGAACCAATGACTATACATCCTGGTTCCCGGGGTCTGCTCACTCTCCTACCCAGAGTTCCATGCGACCAGCACAGTCCAGAGAGATGTGAGGATTCGTCACATCTTGCACTGTAAATTCAATATATTGTACATATTTCTTAGCTCTTTTATTTTTGACGAATCTACACATCTAAATAAACATCTTCGACAGAATTGTTTAGTTTCACTGAGAAAATATCCTCCAACGTGTAACACTATTTCGAGTTGCGCAGCGATTCTTTGTTTACATAGGTTGTGTGGTTCCACGTGCTGTCATCGAAGCCCTTCGGAGAGCCAATGATGTGGCCAGTTTGATATATAAATATGTATTGTCATAAACATATATGTAACAATGTAAAACATTATAAAGCTTGCATTAGGCCAGTCTCGTCTTATTTACGAATATGCGCGTATGATTACAAACGAGAGAAAAGTCCGGTCACGTGATATGCAAATTAGCCTGTGGCAGTTATGTTATGCTAAGTCATCACTGCGCCGGAGTGTGGGGTCTGCTGCGCTACCATTCGACACTGTCGAAGGGAACCAGGCTGATGATTATGGTGTTCTGGGACCAAAAGGGACAGAAATCTTCACGTTTAATTGTTGCGTCTTAGACGAAAAGGTTATCCGTGCATGTAATTGTTCTCTGTCCAGTGAGTGGGTTTCCATCGCTTTCACTATTCAAGAAATATTTTGACCTAGGATTGCTTAGATGTCGGGAATCAAACCCGGAGTCTTCGTTGTCTGGACAGACACTTTGTTGTCTGGACAGACTCCTGCTGTCCTCTGCTCTTTTGTACGAATCAAACTCTCCCTACGACAGCCATATTGCCGTTAATATTCATTCATTTGTATGTTGTTTAACGCCGCACTCAGCAATACTCCACCTATACTCTACGTAATTTGGATACGAAGGCATGTGTCAACCAAATCAGCGAGACTGACCACCAAATCCTTTTAGTCTTCTTTTACGAAAAAAATGGGTTGCTGAAGACCAATTTACAACCCCGGATCTTCACGGGGTTTGGACCCTAATAGTAGGTCTCTTATCAATGAATCTTTCAAAGACTAACAGTCACGTGATTGGTCGCCGCCACGCAGCTGACTAAACAAACTGTTTGACACTTTGTCAGTGACATTATATTGCTGTGCTTCTGGAATATAATCAGTCGCCTCACATGTGCGTTCAGTTTCATAACAACGGATTGCAGTTTCATGATCATTTCTCAACTTCAAAATGGACTGACTGACTGACTGACTGAGTTTATTTTTACGCCGCTTTTAGCAATATGCCAGCAACATCACGGCGGGGGACACCAGAAATGGGCTTAACACATTGTGCCCATGTGGGGAATCGAACCCGGGTCTTTGGCGTGACTTCAAAATGGAGTCTATTTTTAATTGTAGTGCTGCTCTGTCAGACAACATTACTGTGTAAAAACGACTTTCTTTTCCACATTTTGAATACATGTACATCCTGAGCACCAAAACGCCGTCTAGATGAATGAAAACAATGAAGACGAACTGTAACTTCCTTGATACAGTCTGCGATTTGCACAAAAGTAATTAAAATGTCTGAGCATTTTTAATGCGGCCATAAGCTAGGCGTTGCTGCAATGCTATGGTAATTTTATCTGTAACATTTATATGTGGGCATATGGGGTTTATGTGTAATTATCTTGCCTCAGACATAAATGTCGTTTTCTTATTGGCTGAGCGCACTCCTATTATTTTCAATGTACCCCGCTTACATCAGCCCATGTCCCCCTCGAGACTAGTGAACAACTGATATTGTGTAAGAAATTCATGCATTTTAATCTTTTTCGAAACGTGTCTGTGACAGTTCAGATTCCGTATTTGTATTGATGGAGTATACTAATGCCTACAGGGAACAACCCCTACAGTCTTAAATAAACAATTTTACGCACCAGTGGTTACAAATTGTACTGCCTCTACCCTTTCACTAAAGTGGTAGGTCCCACTTCATTGTGCACTAATGCCTACAGGGAATACAAAACACAGACTTTTAAATGACATTTTATAAGATTTAATAATATCATTTTCATTTCTTCACACAAAATTACAATACATTACATTACATATTATTGAATTATTAACTGAGATGACATTAAATTACATTCTAAGTCATATATTAGATCATTTATCAACATGAATTATTTACATATGTACAAATATACAAACATACAAATATACAAATATACATTTCTGATGACAACTGAAGTCATTCAAGCTGTTTGAGTTACGCTTGAGTTACGCCAACTTAATCAGATGTCCAGCAGCTGAGAGGAACTCCATGGTGGTCGTGATTCCAGTTGTCAGTTGGTCCTTCAGTCGTGTGAGTCTCTGGTCGATCTCTGTGTAGATCCTCTTACGGGGTTGGGGACGGGCGCCCTGATTCCAGTTGTCAGTTGGTCCTTCAGTCTTGTGAGTCTCTGGTCGATCTCTGTGTAGATCCTCTTACGGGGTTGGGGGACGGGCACTCTGATTCCAGTTGTCAGTTGGTCCTTCAGTCTTGTGAGTCTCTGGTCGATCTCTGTGTAGATCCTCTTACGGGGTGGGGGACGGGCGCCCTGATTCCAGTTGTCAGTTGGTCCTTCAGTCGTGTGAGTCTCTGGTCAATCTCTGTGTAGATCCTCTTACGGGGTGGGGGACGGGCGCCCTGATTCCAGTTGTCAGTTGGTCCTTCAGTCTTGTGAGTCTCTGGTCGATCTCTGTGTAGATTCTCTCACGAGGTTGGGGACGGGCGCCGTGCGACATCTGCACCAACCTGTTCCTCTCAGCTTTCTCCAACTTCTGTAGCACTTTCACCAAAGCGAAACTGTTAGGATGAGCTGTCTGGGCAGTCTTGTTGAGGTGGGAATGGTCGGTACTGTTGAGGTGGGAATGGTCGGTACTGTTGAGGTTGGAATGGTCGTAGATGGTCGGTACTGGCGTTGTCCCAGTCTGTGCCCGTCGCCGCAGAGCACTGGCAATCTTCAAAGCTGCTTGATCTCCCTGTGGATGGTTGTGTGCGGACTGATGTCGAACAAACTGTCCGACTGGGGTGCACTTACCAAGGCAGCCTCCATGAACACACTCCCAGTGTAAGCAGGTCTATCGTCGGTTGTTGAGTCTGAATCTGTAGCCATCTAGTAGTATCTGCTGTCCTCCTTTCTGTGATGTGAAGTACTCGACTTTCTTTGGGTTTGCAATGGTTAGCGAGGAAGACTTTGGTTACGAGCGTTTTAAAGCAATACATTGCCTTCTCAATAAGAAAAATCTCTCTCAATAAATTAAACATTTCCTTCTCACTTTGTGTTATCCCTCAATATGTTTTTCTATCCTTCAACCGTGTGAGATGGAACATAGCCTCTGCTAATTGCTCTTTGCCCTTTACTACCCTAATCCCATTGTAGGCATTAGTGCCCACTAACCAATACAGTCCCATTTTGAGCAGGTAAGCATATCGCTGTCACAACAAACTTTGTAGCTATTATTCCCTGTAGCTATTTTTCTGTAGGCATTAGTAGACCAAACCTTTGTATTCTACACATCAACATTACATTGTTAGTTGTTTAGTTTTAATAAAAACCCTAAAAAACCCCAAAAAACACGTTGACAACTTTTGTACACTTCTGAAAGGGAGACACTGGATAGCTTACCGCGCGTATCCCCGTGGTTAAACGAACACAGGAGGGGTACAAGACTCGGTGTTAACCGCATGTGACTTGAGTAGGTTGCTACACGTATTTCTGTGGACTGCCTGACTGACTTAGTTTGATTTTACGCCGCTTTTAGCAATATTCCAACAACATCACGGCGGGGGACACCAGAAATGGGCTTCACATATTGTAAGCATGTGGGGATTCGAACCCGGGTCTTCGGCGTGACGAGCGAACGCTTTAACCACTCCACCGCCCCCAGTTGCTGTGGAGATACCCTTTCATCACATTCAGTTTGTAAACTATGTAATCGCATAGCAGTCAATATTAGGTTGTAGGTGTTTAGAACAGACAGTGAAGAATAGAAACAGGTATAATCCGCACTGTTTTAAATCGGTGTTGGATCGGGGGATAGCAAGTGGTAGCGCGGGTCTACACAACTGATTCATCCATTCGCGATTATCGAGACTCTTAAATCTCAGATCTACTTTGTCTGACATCCAGACTCATTCACTCGTATTGTAAATGAATGACACGATGTGAATTACATGATGTGA